CTTGGACCCCGATGCTTTCGACGCAAAACCTCTCGTCTCCGAGGAAGCAGTGCAGAAGGCGCAAGAGGCCTGGGCTAGTGCTACTTAGATCCCCAATACCCAACCTTTCAATTTTTGGGGTTCGTATAGTTTAGTAGGAATCGGAAAGTTTAGCCTTTTTATTTCTGTGGCTTATTGGGGGAGTAAGGCTATCAAGCAGATCTCCAAGACCTATCTTGAGGGCGGGGACTATGTTGCCGCAGCTGCGGAAGCAGCGGGTGAGCTGTATGGGTACGGCCACTCGGAGGTGCTCTTCAAGCCAACAAAGGCAGCTGAGGCACAGTTTCGCCCAAGCGCTTCCGATGCCATGTCCTACTTCGTTGGGAGCGATGCAGTCGAGGGCGGCTATGCAGAGGCCCTCGTAAACCCCAAGCCTAAACCGGACCTTGCGCCCATCCATACCTTCTAAAACCCTAAACCCTGCACTCCACAACCCCGAAGCCGTATACCGTCTGAGCCCGAAACCCTAAAACCTCCGCAGGACACCGGTTTTGCCATCAACGGCGGTAAGGGATGGTCAGATGTCGTCTTCGAGAACCACAAGACGAATCGGACCGGTAACATTGCCATTGCCATGGGCACCTAAAACTACCAAACCCTACATCTTTTGTAGGCTCTAATAACAAACCCTAATATGGAATTTACAGGGTTTAGGGTTTAGGGTTTAGGGTTTAGGGTTTAGGGACCCCACAAAAAAGTAGGTTTTGGTAGGGCTCAGGCAACTACTACTTCACCTGCGCTCAAACTGGGAACGAGACCAAGGTTGAGTCTGGGTTGAGCCCTTTAAGGGATCTCTTTTTTAAAATTTTCCTTTGATATGTAATTTAATTTTCCTTAGATCTTTTTTGATTTTCCTTTGATATTTTTTAATTTTCCTTAGATCTTTTTTGATTTTCCTTTGATATTTTTTAATTTTCCTTGGATTTTTTTTGATTTTCCTTACTAGTTTGTAGAGAACCATAATAGTAAGTAATTTTCAAAGGGCTTAAAGGACAACTCAGGAGTATACCTTTGGCTACAAGACGGCGAAGGATAACAAGCTCCGGATCTTCCTCCACCACTCTTCCGTGCCCTATGACCCTGAAACTTCCTTTGTGATTTCAGAGGAGGAAGTTCAGAATGCACAAGCCTCCTGGGCTAGTGCCATCAAGCAGATCTCCAAGACGTACCTGGAGGGAGGAGACTATGTTACAGCAGCCACCCAGGCAGCAGGGGAGTTGTACGGCTACGGTCACTCGGAGGTGCTCTTCAAGCCCACAAAGGCTTCAGAGGCACAGTTTCTGGGTTCGTCTTCAGGAGATCAGTTTAACTTTCTTTTATTCCTGTATAGTCATGATACGATACACTATATATACACCTGGTGCGTAGCAAGTAGTAGGCTTATGGAACCCAGGTTCCGGCCCAGCGCCAACGACGCCTTGTCCTACTTTGTAGGGCACCAGGCGGTGGAGGGCGGCCATATGGAGGAGTCCGAAAATCAGGGGACCCTAAGAAAGTACCCTAAATCCCTAGGGATCGAAGAGCTCATATAGGGTTCCTTTAAAGGGATCTATAAGGGGTCCTTTAAAGGGATCTGTAGGGTATAGGGATCTAAGGACTCATATACTAAGGCTTTTGGGCCCAAAGACCATACCATTTAAGGCTTCTGGGCTATTTTGATCCCTAAATTAATAGTAGGATCCTCATTCATAAATTCTAAGGACCCCCAAAATCAGGTACCCCCCTAGTTTCAGAAACTCCCATCTCGAGGATTCCGGTTTTGCCATCAATGGTGGCAAGGGCTGGTCGGAGGCCCCTTTATGTCTGAATAACCTACCCGTTTAGGGTTCCTTATTATGCTTTCCTTAGTATATGTCCTTAGAAAGGTCGGTCATTCGGGCTCTGCACCCTAAACCCAAAACCCAAAGCCCTAAACCGTGGTAAGGTTGTCTTTGAAAACCACCAGACTAAGCTGAATGGCCCAATTGCGATCGCTATGGGCAACTACCATTTCACCTGCGCCGCCACCGGTGACAAGACCAAAGTTGAGTACACCTTCGGCTACAAAAAGAACGTCGACGGCAAGCTCCGCATCTTTCTCCACCACTCGTCCGTGCCGTATGTCTCTGCGGGTGGTGCCACCGCAGTTGCCAACCTCATTTCGGAAGAAGAGGTGCAGAAGGCACAAGAAGCCTGGGCTAGTGCCATCAAGAAGATCTCCAAGACCTATCTTGAGGGCGGGGACTATGTTGCCGCAGCTGCGGAAGCAGCGGGTGAGCTGTATGGATACGGCCACTCAGAGGTGCTCTTCAAGCCCACAAAGGCAGCTGAGGCACAATTTCGCCCAAGCGCTTCCGATGCCATGTCCTACTTCGTTGGGAGCGATGCAGTCGAGGGGGGCCACGCCGAGGACTCCTGGACCCGAAAGCCCCTGCGGCCTCTAGATCCTCTCAACCCTATACTTGGAGGTTCAGGGGTAGTTATAAGCAGGGTTATAAGTCCCTGAATATGGGTTATAAGTATAGTTACCCTACTTATACCCCCACTTATAATTACCCATGAACCTCCGAGTACCCTGTGGAGGACTCCGGTTTCGCCATCAACGGCGGCAAGGGCTGGTCTAATGTCGTTTTTGAAAACCACCAGACTAAGCTGACTGGCGACCTCGCAATTGCCATGGGCAACTACTACTTCACTTGCGCCGAGACGGGGGCCGAAAACAAAGTCGAGTACACCTTCGGCTACAAAAAGACAGAAGATGGAAAGCTCCGGATCTTTCTTCACCACTCCTCCGTGCCCTTCAGCACTTGATTTTGCGCAGCGGCTGCTGCGGGAGGGGTGAGCATTAGGAGTACTTGGAGGCCCAGGAAACTCAATAAGTAGGTTCCCGAAATGGAGTTACCCCAAATATATTCCTACATATAACCGACTTACTCAGTCCCCTCCTGGCCCTCCCAAAATCTCTCCTTATAGAACCCTTCTATATCCCCTTTTAAGGAGCCCTTTAAGGAGCCTTACCTGCTAAGTCCCCTCCTGGCCCTCCAAGTATCAGTCTCAGAGCTTCAAGCACAGCCTGCTTAGGGACTTTGGAACACGAGGCTTCGGCAACAACGGTTTTAGGAATTCCCTATGAAAAACCGAATAGTAGGAAGAAGGATACCCTTATTGTAAAGGGGCGACTCAGGAACCTAGAACAGCTTCGAATTGATTTGGGCTGAGGGTTTAGGGTTGAGTGCAAGCTTTAGGTGTTGGATAGCTTCTACGTGCAACTGGGGCGGGGTGCATGCTTGAGACAAAATGAGACAGCTTGTAAACAAGCTCGTCCAAGTAGTGCCGAACCTGGCAAATATTTTCCATCGATTGAAGAACACTAAGGATCCATGTGCCCAAATAGTATATACTTTGGTCCCAATGTACCTACATATGGACTACTTTAAGGCCAATGTATATACTATTTAGGTACATGGACCCTTAGGGGAAACTCATTGAAGACACTCAGGCCCCTCCTTGTACCCTGAAATAGGGGTATACGGTCCCAAATCAGGGGCATTTAGGGTCTAATCGAGGGTAGATGGAGGGTCTAGGTAATCTATGCAGCTCTATTCTCACAACCCTTGACCCTACACCCCAGTGTATTAAGGCCGATGTATATACTATTTAGGTACATGGACCCTTAGGGGAATCTCCTGTGTCATTTTAAGATTTGCTGCTGACAACGTTTGAAGCTGGAGCTGACAAAGAGTTTGCGCGCTTGCTAGCAGGGAATGGAAGAATTGCAGTAATAGTAATATCAGTAATCATAGTAATAATCGTCATAATAGTAAAAATAGTAAGAATAGTAGTAATAGTAATAATAGTAGTAATAGTACTAATAGTAATGATAGTAATAGTAATAATAATAATAGTAATAATGCTAGAAATGGTAATGTGTAATAGTAATGATAGTAATCGTAGTAATACTAGCAATAAAAGTAGTAAAGTAGTAAGCATTCATTGTCACCTGCATGGTTCGTAGCCGATAGGATCCCTTCGTGCCTTGCACAAGCCTGCGAACGTGCGTGCGGCCGACAGCGGCCCCGCTCTGAAGCTTTAACTTCTTGACCAAACAAGATATCGCGGCGTCCGAATTGTAACGTAAGTTATCGAAAAGGGGTATTGCAATTCAGAGAGTCTAGGTATTCCCATGAAAACCAGAACCAACCTTTGGGTATGACCCTGAACTTTAGTCCCTGAACCGAACCCCGAAAGCCTAGACAACAGGAAGCCAAGAGCAGGCCGTAACGTGTAGAAGCCGCTCCAAGCTTAGCAAACACAGCAGCAGCCATGAACAAGGGTGTTGGTATAGATTTGTATATATATATATATATGAATATGAAATATATATATATATATATATATATATATATGAATATGAATATGAATATGAAAATACGGGAAATGTCAACATATTACAGTGCAATGATATCACTATAGCATAATACATTGTAAAGCCTCATAGCCCTAAACCCAACAACTCTAGACCCTTAAGCCTTATTAATACTAAACCTGAGCCCAACCTAAGCCCTCAACCCCCTGTGACCCCAAATGTGTATGCGCTTCTTGGAGGTTCAGAGGTGGTTATAAGTAGGCTTATAAGTCCCTCAGTATGGTTTATAAGTATAGTTACCCTCCTTATAACCTTACATAGAACTACCCAACCCCCATGTAGGTCCCTAAACCCCATACTCTATACCCTTATAGAATCCCTATAGACCCCTTTAAAGGGACCCTTACAACCACCCATGAACCTCCAAGTTGGCTTCCGAATCACTAAACCCTAAACTCTAAACCTTAAATCCTAAACCCTGAACCCTAAACCCTAAACTCTAAACCTTAAATCCTAAACCCTGAACCCTAAACCCTAAACCCTGAACCCTAAATCCTAAACCCTAAACCCTAAGCCCCAAACCTTGGCTTCCTAAACAAGCCCTGAGCCCCCGTAGGGCTTCGACGCTGGGGCTCTCATCGCCCACGCGCTGCTCTCGAAAAGTTGCTGGAGCCTTCCCCCCAAAGGGTCCAAAGTATCTTTATAGTAGAGTGTAGGGTTTCTATATTAGGAATTACTATTATATGATTTCGTCTCGGGTTTAGGGGTTGAGGGTTTCGGGTTTTGGGGTTTGGGAGTCTTTCGGGGGTTTAAGGGTTTAAGGGTTTAAGATTTCGGAGTTTAGGGGCTTGGGGTTTGGAGTTTGGGGGCTTGGGGTCAAAAGCTTTCGGTTTTATGCTTCAAGGGTTTGAGGTTTGGGGTCTTTTTAGGGTGATAACTATCCGCTAATACAGTGTTAGGGTTCAGGTGGTTTTAGGGCTTGCAGCAGTTTGGAGGTTATCGGTGGTTTTCAGCTACATGGCATGGTGTTGGGTTGTCGGGATGTTTCGGGACTTTCGAGCCTTTTTCGAGGATGGCGCAACAGCCCAAGAGAAAGCCCAAACCCGACAATCGTCTATAGCCTGCCGCCACAGCCCTTTGGCCCTACAGAGAGGCAGTATCCTGGGTTTGGAGTACCATACTTAAATACTTTTTCTGGTACCTGTTCCTTAAAGGAACCATTATGGAATAAAAGTCTATACTTTTTCTCCCTGGTTACTTCAAAGTCCAGATATGCGCGAAGCGACGTGTTCAACCTGCGGTAACCCTGAAGCGTCAACCTGCAGCCCGAATGAAACTGAGGAATGACATGCGCGGACGTCTCCAGGCCCCTTGTCGGTGGGGTTCAAGTGGTCAATCAATGTCGCCTATAGCGGAGAGAATCGTGGTTCTAGAAGGCTTCTTCTGGGTTTTTGCGTGGACGCTTTCGCGTCAAAAGCTTAAGTTTTAAGTGATTTTCTCTGGGGTTTGCGTTTGAGACTGCAGGGCTCTAAAGTGGTTCATAGATTTCGGGTTAAGCCTAGGACGGGTAGGAGGGTTCCTCTACACTTCCCTTCGGCCGGAAAACCTACATGATAAAGGAGCCCTTACAAGAATCCTTGAAGGAGCCCTGAACCCTTAAAGAGCCTGAAGTCCTCGGAACTCTGAAGGGGAACCAACACCATTCTTTCATAGCACCCTTGTAGTTTCCCTTTCAAAGAGCCCTCAACCCTTAAAGAGCCAACATAGGGGCCTTAATACTTAGAAAAGGGTTTGGGGGTATATTATACTATAGCTATAGTAAGGAGCCTCCAAAAACCTATTCTGATCATTTATTAAAGTCCGAGACGATCTCCAGGGAGTTTGTCTGGGCAGCTACGACGATCACTGCTTCCGGAGCCTGACTGGCGAGGTTCAAAGTTGGCGTCTCTGGCAGCAGTTGGAATACCGGGGCTTGAGTGAAGTAGTAATAGGGTTCTATAATGTAAGCGCATTTATCAGGGTGTTTTATATTAAGAAGGTTCTATAATTAATGTAAGAGCATTTAGGGTGATTTATATCAGGTCCGATTTGGGGATTTACTAGTACGAAGCTCAGATCCACGGGTTTAGAGCCTTAAGTTTTAGCTGCTATAGTTCTTAGGATGAAGTTTAGGGTTTAGGGTTTAGGGTTTCGTTGTTGGTGTCCTTATTGTTCAGATGGAGCAGTCCCTACGCTTTTGCTGTTGAGAGGCACTTTGGGATTCTTTGGTTGCATGGCCTAAGGTTCCGAGGCCCAATGCCATCGCCGTTAATGCTTCGGAAGTTAAATGTGTTCGAGCCGTAGAGTGCGGGGTGTCCTGGTCCAAGTCTGGCGCCGCGGTTTGGGTTTGGCCCGGTGAACACTTTTTTTGGTGGGAAAGTGAACACTTATCCTGGCCCGGTGAACACTTATTTTGGTGGGAAATTGGCCACTTATCCTGGCCCGGTGAACACTTATTTTGGTCGGAAATTGACCACTTATCCTGGCCCGGTGAACACTGATTTTGGTGGGAAATTGAACACTTATCCTGGCCCGGTGAACACTTATTTTGGTGGCGAAGTGAACACTTATCCTGGCCCGGTGAACACTTATTTGGGTGGGAAATTGAACACTTATCCTGGCCCGGTGAACACTTGTTTTGGTAGGAAATTGAACACGTATCTTGGCCCGGTGAACACGTATTTTGGTGCGAAAGTGAACACTTGTCCTGGCCCTTTGAACATTTGTTTTGGTCGGAAATTGAACACTTATCCTGGCCCGATGAACACTTATTTTGGTGGGAAACTGACCACTTATCCTGGCCCGGTGAACACCTATTTTGATGGGAAAGTGAACACTTATCCTGGCCGGTGAACACGTATTTTGGTTGGAAATTGACCACTTTTCCTGGCCCGGTGAAGATTTATTTTGGTCGGAAATTGAACACTTATCCTGGCCCGGTGAAGATTTGTTTTGGTCGGAAATTGGCCACCTATCCTGGCCCGGTGAACACGTATTTTGGTCGGCAACTGGCCCGGTGAACAATTAGTTTGGTGGGAAATTGACCGCTTATCCTGGCCCGGTGAACACTTATTTTGGTCGGAAATTGAGCAAATATCCTGGCCCGGTGAACACTTATTTTGGTGGGAAAGTGACCACTTTTCCTGGCCGGTGAACACTTATTTTGGTGGGAAATTGAACACTTATCCTGGCCCGGTGAACACCTATTTTGGTGGCGGATTGAACACTTATCCTGGCCCGGTGAACACTTATTTGGGTGGGAAAGTGACCCCTATCCTGGCCCGGTGAACATTTGTTTTGGTCGGAAATTGAACACTTATCCTGGCCCGGTGAACACTTATTTTGGTGGGAAAGTGAACACTTATCCTGGCCCGGTGAACGCTTATTTTGGTCGGAAATTGAACACTTATCCTGGCCCGGTGAACACGTATTTTGGTGGGAAATTGACCACTTATCCTGGCCCGGTGAACACGTATTTTGGTGGGAAATAGACCACTTATCCTGGCCCGGTGAACACGTATTTTGGTGGGAAACTGACCACTTATCCGTGCCCGTTGAACACGTATTTTGCTGGGAAATTGACCACTTATCCTGGACGGTGAACACTCATTTTGGTGGGAAAGGGAACACTTATCCTGGCCCAGTGAACACTTATTTTGGTCGGAAATTGAACACTTATCCTGGCCCGGTGAACACTTATTTTGGTGGGAAATTGACCACTTATCCTGGCCCGGTGAACATTTTCTTTTGGTGGGAAAGTGAACACTTATCCTGGCCCGGTGAACACTTATTTTGGTGGGAAAGTGAACACTTATTTTGGTGGGAAATTGACCACTTATCCTGGCCCGGTGAACACTTATTTTGGTAGGAAATTGGACACTTATCCTGCCCGGTGAACACTTATTTTGGTGGGAAATTGACCACTTATCCTGGCCCGGTGAACACGTATTTTGGTGGGATATTGACCACATATCCTGGCCGGTGAACATTTATTTTGGTTGGAAATTGACCACTTTTCCTGGTCCGGTGAACACTTATTTTGGTCGGAAATGACCACTTATCCTGGCCCGGTGAACACCTATTTTGGTGGGAAAGTGAACACTTATCCTGGCCCGGTGAACACGTATTTTGGTGGGAAATTGACCACTTTTCCTGGCCGGTGAACACTTATTTTGGTGGGAAATTGACCACTTATCCTGGCCCGGTGAAGATTTGTTTTGGTCGGAAATTGGCCACTTATCCTGGCCCGGTGAACACGTATTTTGGTCGGCAACTGGCCCGGTGAACAATTGTTTTGGTGGGAAATTGACCGCTTATCCTGGCCCGGTGAACACTTATTTTGGTCGGAAATTGAGCACTTATCCTGGCCCGGTGAACACTCATTTTGGTGGGAAAGTGACCACTTATCCTGGCCCGGTGAACACTTATTTTGGTCGGAAATTGAACACTTATCCTGGCCCGGTGAGCACTTATTTTGGTGGGAAATTGACCACTTATCCTGGCCCGGTGAACACTTATTTTGGTGGGAAACTTACCACTTATCCGCGCCCGTTGAACACGTATTTTGCTGGGAAATTGACCACTTATCCTGGACGGTGAACACTCATTTTGGTGGGAAAGGGAACACTTATCCTGGCCCGGTGAACACTTATTTTGGTCGGAAATTGAACACTTATCCTGGCCCGGTGAACACTTATCCTGGCCTGGTGAACACTTATTTTGGGGGGCAACTGACCACTTATCCTGGTTAGTTTCGTCCAGATTTAAATTATTTCAGTGTTCAGTTCGTCCGGATTTAAGTGTTCATTTGTCCAGATTCAAGTGTTCACTTTGTCCAGATTTAAGTGTTCAATTGCAAAGATTTAAATGTTCTTTTCGTCCAGATTTAAGTGTTCATTTGTCCAGATTTAAGTGTTCAGTTTGTCCAGATTTGAGTGTTCAATTGTCCAGATTTAAATGTTCAATTGTCCAGATTTAAATGTTCTTTTTGTCCAGATTTAAGTGTTCATTTGTCCAGATTTAAGTGCTCACTTGTCCAGATTTAAGTGTTCTTTTTGTCCAGATTTAAGTGTTCATTTGTCCAGACTTAAGTGTTCATTTTGCTACCCAGAACCCCATAAAGAGTTACTGTTAGAGGAAGGGCCTAACGAATATGATTACTGGTTACCCTGATCCCTAAACCCTACATAAACCCTAATCTTTAAACCCCTAAACCCTAAGCCCCCAAGGATAAGTGTTCAATTCCCCACCAGAATGGGTGTTCACCGGGCCAGGACAAGTGTTCACTTTCTTAGCAAAAAACAGCATTCAAAACCCCAGAAATAAGTGTTCTAAACCGCAGAAATAAGTGTTCTAAACCCCTAGAAATAAGTGTTCTAAACCCGCAGAAATAAGTGTTCTAAACCCCAGAAATCGTGTTCTAAACCCCAGAATTAAGTGTTCTAAACCCCAGAAATAAGTGTTGAAAACCCCAGAAATAAGTGTTCTAAACCCCAGGAATACGTGTTCTAAACCCCAGAAATAAGTGGTCTAAACCCCAGAAATAAGTGTTCAAAACCATACCCAATCATAGCCGAAATGAGCCAGCACAACCCTTCTAAAGAGAGGGGTCGAATTACTGTTACAGGCAGGGTCTAACACATTCGCTATCCTCTTCACAGTATCAGGCCTGAAAACCCTTGGCCCCTCCCAGAGAGCCCAATACCCCTTAGTTAAGGAATATAGCTTAAATCATAATATGAAGCCCTATATAACTTAAGCCATATTCCTTAATTAAGGGGTATTGCGCTCTCTGGGCTCGTAACCTTAAACCCTGTGCTCCAGTCGTCGCGCTCCATCTTATCAACCTCGGCTCGGTCCTGCTACCATATGGGTCTTAACAAATACCTGCCTAATTACCTAATTATCAAGGCCCCAACACCCATAGGCCCCATAGTAGTTCCTTTTTGGGATGGCCTTATAGGATTCTAAATATGAACCCCAAAAAGGAACTACTATGGGGCCTATGGGTATCATCCTGAAGTTTCAACTTCAACACTGAATCCTGGAGTCTAAACACCTGACCCTAAGCCTGAAGGCCTCCTATATACCTCCAGAAAGCCGCGCCAAGGCTAAGCCCTAGAACCCATAGCACCCTAAACCCGAGGAACCCTCAGCACCAAAGACTCTAGAATCTTCCTAGACCCTCCATCTACCCTCTATTGGACCTTAAATGCCCGTTATTTGGGACCACATACCCCTCTTTGAGGTTACAAGGAGGGTCCTGGTTAGATCCACCACCCCAAATAGACCCAAACCCTAAAATCCTCCGTACCCTACCTCAACCTTAATCTGAAACCTAAACCCAAGGAACCCTCAGCACCTTAAACTACTCTAGATCCACCACCCCAAAGAGAGCCAAACCCTAAAATCCTCCGTACCCTACCTCAACCTTAATCTGAAACCTAAACCCAAGGAACCCTCAGCACCTTAAACTACTCTAGATCCACCACCCCAAAGAGAGCCAAACCCTAAAATCCTCCGTACCCTACCTCAACCTTAATCTGAAACCTAAACCCAAGGAACCCTCAGCACCTTAAACTACTCTAGATCCACCACCCCAAATAGACCCAAACCCTAAAATCCTCCGTACCCTACCTCAACCTTAATCTGAAACCTAAACCCAAGGAACCCTCAGCACCTTAAACTACTCTAGATCCACCACCCCAAAGAGACCCAAACCCTAAAATCCTCCGTACCCTACCTCAACCTTAATCTGAAACCTAAACCCAAGGAACCCTCAGCACTTAACTACTCTAGATCCACCACCCCAAATAGACCCAAAAAATCCTCCGTAGATCTGAACCTAAACCCAAGGAACCCCAACCTGAGACCTAAAATCCTCCGAAACCTAAACCCACCCCTCAGCACCTTAAACTACTCTAGATCCACCACCCCAAAGAGAGCCAAACCCTAAAATCCTCCGTACCCTACCTCAACCTTAATCTGAAACCTAAACCCAAGGAACCCTCAGCACCTTAAACTACTCTAGATCCACCACCCCAAATAGACCCAAACCCTAAAATCCTCCGTACCCTACCTCAACCTTAATCTGAAACCTAAACCCAAGGAACCCTCAGCACCTTAAACTACTCTAGATCCACCACCCCAAATAGACCCAAACCCTAAAATCCTCCGTACCCTACCTCAACCTTAATCTGAAACCTAAACCCAAGGAACCCTCAGCACCTTAAACTACTCTAGATCCACCACCCCAAAGAGAGCCAAACCCTAAAATCCTCCGTACCCTACCTCAACCTTAATCTGAAACCTAAACCCAAGGAACCCTCAGCACCTTAAACTACTCTAGATCCACCACCCCAAATAGACCCAAACCCTAAAATCCTCCGTACCCTACCTCAACCTTAATCTGAAACCTAAACCCAAGGAACCCTCAGCACCTTAGACTATTCTAGATCCACCACCCCAAAGAGAGCAGGAAGAGCTTTGATTTTTCCTCCTTGCCGGCTTTCGACGCGCCGATCAAGGCTCGGAGCTCTTTTCTTCGTGCGGGCCTGTTTTTTTTTTTTTTTGTTTTGGGTTTAGGGTTTAGGGTTTAGGGTTTAGGGTTTAGGGTTTAGGGTTTAGGGTTTAGGGTTTAGGGTGGGCTTTTTGTTAGGTTTCATCAGGGTTTTCTGTATGGGTCTATTGGGCCTATTGGGTTTGATGAGATTTTGTCTGGTTTTCTGTAGGGGTTTATGAAGGTGTTATTCTATTGGGCTTGATGAGATTTTTGTCTGGCTTTTACCAGGGCTTGATCAGGATGCTTATAGTTTGTTCCCTCAGGGTTCGGTCAAGGCTTTTCTGTGTATGCGACCTCGAAAGGCCGGCTTCTTACAGGGCTCCTTCAAGGGTTCTATTCGGGTATCGAGTCTAGGGCTTTTTGGGACAGCGTCTTGGGGTTCAAGATGTGGGTTGTGCGGGCGTTGAGGCCTGGGGCTTATGCAGAGGTTCAAGGAACATGTGGGCAGTATTTTGCTCCGAACGGTTGTTGTGTCCCACCGAAAGCAGGTGGAAGTCCGCTCCCCAAACGGCGGGCTCTGGAGAATCTTGGTCCTTCATGTGAGGTTTAGAATTCAGGGGTTTAGGCTTAGAGATCTTTTTCAATGGGCTATGGTTTTTTTGCTTCTACAAGCTGTTATACAGGGATCTTGTTGAGCTTTGTTTGGTTTTACTACGTGAAGGGTTGCGGGTTATGCAACTACTAGTATAGCTGCACAGGGCCGATAACCTCAAAATATTGCAAATCGCTGCCATACGCTGATGCTATCTTGGGGACAGGCCGTCAGAACAACTGCCAACCCAGAGACTCCAAGATCCCTTAATTAAGGAATATACCTTAATTATATTAAGGATCCTACTATAATTTAAGGAATATTCCGTAATTAAGGGGTATTGGAGTCTCTGGGAACTCAGTTAGTTTTGCAGGCGCCTGAAGCCCAAAACCCAAAACTCACTCTGATCAAGGAAACAGAAAATTCACGAAGCACAATAAATAGGCTGATTGCCCTCACCCGAATCTTTCTGGGATGCTAGAGAACATCTGCTTTCTGGAATACGAAGAATGCTACCGAAGACCCGGTTTAGCAAACCTTGCTTTAAAGGGTGTTGAAATGATGATCCAGGTATTGAAATGATGATCCGTTTTGTTGTCAGTCCTTTCAAGACGGGGAGTTTAATGGCCAGGGGTCTACATTTTCCTGCAAGTCTTGTTCTACGCCCAAGAACCCTTAGGCTTAGAGCTCGCCACCAAATCCGAAACCTGAAGCCTGCACCCGGAACCCAAACACCGAGACCCAACACCTCATCGTGCCTCTAGCGGAACCCAAAAGGGACGCCTTAACAAAGCCAGTCAAGGGACTTTTGTGAATTCATGTAACCCTAAACCCCTAAACCTGAGGTGTGACGATCCACCAGCCCGTCCGATTCCATCTCCTTCGGCACTTGGCCTTTTCCGACGATGCTGTGCGACTGGGCTGGCTTTGGGTTTAGGTTTGGAGTATGTCTGCAGAGGGTCCGTTTAGAAGGGTACTACGGGCTTTGGGGTTAGGGTTGATGTCGGAGATTTTGGCAGGGTTTTGTAGGTTTTGGCATGTTCCGAACTCTGAACCTTATAAAGCTTAAGTAATGCCTATAGGCTTGCATTTGCTCGAGAGGTTCTGCGAGCTCATCCGCCACTGCTGCGCCCACGACACCTCTGGTGGAAAGAGTAAGAGCATCTCGGACAAAACATGATCTGGGGTTACGGTTGAGATATCTGGTTGGGATGGGATTTCACGAGTATGATTAGAAGCATTGGGCAGTCATAGGTTGGAAAAATGGCGTGCTTTAAGCTTCTTCTACCGGAGTCGTTGTGGATGTGGGTTCGCTGCATCCAAATAGCTCGACATGCGAAGATACAGGTGACGGTTTACAAGGCAGGGGCTTCAAAGCGCACATGAATGCTTAGAGGAGTTTTGTTATGTTGTATGTAGCTTATACTCAGAGCTACAGAGCTCGATTCGGGGTGCTGATATCACAACTTGTAACCCCAGGGCCAACCTTCACTCCCCAATTCGTGAACCCTACCCCTTGAGTCCCGTGATGCCTCCATGAGCCTGAAGCCGAAATCCTGCTCCTCTCTTATGGTACCCGTATAGTATCCCTTAACTCTGATTATTAAGGCCCCTATAATCAACCCTAGACCCCTACATCCCTAAAAACCTAAAGCCCTAGACCCTGAACCCTTGCATCCCTAAATCCCTAAAGCCCTTAACCCTAAGCCCCTGCATCCCTAAGCCCCTAAAGCCCTAAACCCTAAACCCCTACATCCCTGAAACCCTAAAGCCCTGAACCCCTGCATCCTTAAAACCCTAAAGCCCTTAACCCTAAGCCCCTGCATCCCTCAACCCCTAAAGCCCTAAACCCTGAGCCCTTCAAGTTTTCGGAGACTTCCCAGGCTCTTTCTGGCGCTCTGAGGCTGGTGAGCTGGTGCTGAAGGACACAGAAAAACGCCCGAAGCGTCTTTTAGCGGTTTAGGGTTTAGGGTTTTACAGGGCTTAGGGTTGTAGGTTCAGGGTTTAATTGGGGTTTAGGGTTTAGGACTAGGAAGGGTTCAGTGAACCTTAACCCGGAATAACATACCTCAGGAAATCATAGTCACCCCCCTAAACAGGTAGGTTAATTAAGGGTTAAGGCAGGCAAGAGAAGGGTTTTCAGTGTAATGTACGGGTCTTAATAATTAGAACAGGGTTTTGGGTCTCCTTATTATTATTAAATTATAATGTATCTCCAAAGCTCTATTCTACTTATTAAGGCCCCTACATTTGCAGCGCCCTCTTCGAGGAGGTGCGCCCAGCCGAAGGTGAGCATCTCGCCACTGTCTTGGCTGCGCCGATGGTGGCGCGCATGGCTCAGGCCCTTGCCCAAGAAATGGGAGTTTCCGACAGTTAGGGGTACCTGAAAGGGATCTATAAGCGCTCCTTAAAGGGATCTACAAGGGCACCTTAAAGGGATCTATAATGGTTCTATAAAGGGTTTTGGGTTTAGAATTTCGGATATTTAGGGGTACCTTATTTTTGGATCCTTATAAGGGTCCTACTATTTGGTAGGGTATTATATTAGGGTCCCCTATATTCGGAAACTCCCAAACGGCGAGAATCGCAAGCAAGGGCTCACGTAAGTACCCCCGAGGTTACTCGGTTTGGGGTTCTTAACTTCAATGGGTGTTGTTATCAAGGCTACAGACGCTGTCCAAGTATCCCTTTTCATCATGTATTGCCCCTTACACTAGCCCTCACCAGCCTACAGGATTATGACGCTTCTTGGGGCTTGGGTTCGAAGTTCAAGCTTTAGCTTCAGATATTCCGGCTGCCGAAATTAACCTACTTGAGCACGTATGGAAGGACAGCATAGAGAGTGCCCGGGAAACCATTAACTAGGATGCCCAGTACTACCCTTATTCCCTTTTTGTAGTCCTAAGTTCCTTTTAAAGTTACCCAATACCAAAAAGGGTGCCCTTTTTATGCCTAGGTTGCTGGGCATCCTAGTTAGTTTGAGTTTACATTGGACTTCGGAACGAGGGCTTGAGCCAAGAAACCTCAAACACTAAACTTGCTGCCCTGGGTTTGGAGTACCATACTTGAATGAAAGAAAGGTCTATACTTTTTTTTCCCTGGTTACTTCAAAGTCCAGTGCTACCCAAGCATAAATGCACAAACCCGACCCTGAAGACACAATTAGCTTTACGCAAAAGTAGGTTATTAGTCACCCTAAGCCCTGATCCTAAAGCCTCAACCTAAACCCGAAACTCTCCTAAACCCGGTAGGACCCAAAACTTTCGACTTGCTAGGCCCAAAGTGGGGAGCCCTCGCTGCTTTGCGAGATTTTCGGATACTTCGAGGTGCGCTGTGAAGTACACTACTTGGAGGCCTACTGGACTTAGTAAGTAAGTTGTTATGCAGGGTTATATAGTATATTGTCGTATGTTATGGTATACTATTGTAGTGTGTCATAAGTAGAGTTATAAGAACCCCAAATTGAGTAACCCCCTAATCGAACCCTACTTCTAACCGACTTACTAAGTCCCCTGGCCTTCAAGTAATGCAGACCGTCAAGCTGTCATGAGGGTCTGCCTTATACGGTTTCCTGATGTAGATCGTAAGAACAGCTGTAGAGCCCCCACAACCTTTTTAAGGGCACATCTAAGGAAATCATAATGAGGAACCCTAGAAAGGTAGGTTCTTTCGGGTCTAGAAGCCTATTAATCATTACCAACAATATTCCCCAGGGTTCGTTGCTATAGTTTCAGTATAATATACCGCCCCCCAAAGCCTCTTTGATTATCAGGGCCCCTATAGTAAAGGCCTTGCCAGGCCGGTGCTCCTCAGACTCTCCGAACACTCGCCAAGCCGGCGGGTTTAGGGTGCCCAAGCTATTGGACACTCCTGCGCTTTTCTGTTCTCCAGAGCACCCAAAAACAGAAACCAACTTCACAATCCTCAAACCCCGAACCCTACAGCGCCCTTGAAAGGGTTTAGGGTTCTAGGGATTTAGGGCTTAGGGTTCAGGAGCCACGACAGTGACAGGAAGCCAACACCAAAAGCCAATGTGCACAGGTACGCGGCCATGGCCGTCAGTCCCATGAGTCTCACTCCATCATTGTGATGCGGAGACTCGGTTTTGGACTTTCAGTGATTTTGGGGTTTTGGGGTTTAGGGCTTCAAGGGATTTTAGGGTTTTAGGGTTTAGGGCTTTAAGGGTTTAGGGCTTGAATCGGGTCTTGAAGGGTTTATTGCTTGAGTGTGTTCGAGGGTGTTGCAGGCTCGAGGGCCTTTAGGTTTCGACATGTAGTCAATGTAGTAAGTGCGTTCGCCAAAAAAGACTTACCCACCCGAAACTCCTTGAAGTATCGAACACTAGTTTCACAAGTTCGGCAAAGCCCAAAAAATTGAAAGCCGTGTAGAGTGCCGGTTACCCTCAGCCCGAAACCCTTGCCCCCAGAGTCTGAAAGCTTACAGCCGTACTTCACGAAAAGATACCGTAAATCATGTGGGTGGTTTTCAAAATTAGGGTCCCTTTTTGGGTACCCTAAATAGTAGGTGCCGTATTATAATAGGGACCCCAAAAGGGACCCTAATTTTGACTACCGCCCATGTGAAGGGACCCTCTGCAATTCCTGCATTGTCTTACTTTCAAGGTGTATCATTCCCTATTTCAGTGACACTGGGCTTTCTCGTGCAAACCATTGTAAACCCCAAGAGCAGTAGACTCCAGGAGCACGAACCCTTATAGCACCCTTATAGATCCCCTTCAAAGGAAACCCAAGACCCCTTCCAGGAATCTACTGCAGAACCCTTATAGCACCCTTATAGAACCCCTTTAAAGGAAACCCCAAGACAACCCCTTCCAGGAATCTACTGCAGATCACCGAGGGTTGGCAGATCTTCGACATCAAAGGCGTCGGAGCCCACAGGAACCTGCCTCCAGCCAAGGAAGAGAGCCTCGGTATCAGGTGGTCCATAACTTTTAGGGTTTAGGGTTTTAGGGTTTAGGGTTTTGGGGTTTAGGGTTTAGGGTTTTGGGGGTTAGGGTTTTGGGGGTTCGGGTTTGGGGAGAGCCTTGGTATCAGGTGGTCCTTAACTTTTAGGGTTTAGGGTTTTGGGGTTTTGGGGGTTAGGGTTTGGGGAGAGCCTTGGTATCAGGTGGTCCTTAACTTTTAGGGTTTAGGGTTTTGGGGTTTAGGGTTTTGGGGGTTAGGGTTTGGGGAGAGCCTTGGTATCAGATGGTCCTTAACTTTTAGGGTTTAAGGGTTCAGGGTTCGGGTCCATGTTACCCCTAGAATTTGAACACCATACAACCCTGAACCACCATTCATTTCTGGATAGTCTAGTTAAAACGGCCACTGCAGGATCCCGTCGTATGACAAAAGTAGGTGCTACACAGAGTCTCGGTAAACGGTTGTAGAGCCATAGAAAGCCACCTAAAACCCTCGTACAACCGGATTGCCCCCCTGGCAAAAATGCATAACCCTCATGTCGGTCACATGTCCTTCAGACAAGACCCTTGTCGAGCCATATAAAACCTCATCATACAAAACCTAACCTAACCAGCACCCAAACAGTGCTAGCGCAGCGATAAACCCCTATCAAGCCTTCTATAAAGTTTTGCAAGACCTAAGGAGCCGGTTAATTAGCCCTACTAAAAGCCCCTTCACAAACTTTCTAAGACCTAAGCCCTACCAAAACCCCTTAACCGTTCCTTCACAAGGCTTTGAAAGACCTAAGGAGCCTGTTAATTCACCCTACTAAAACCCCTTAAAGCCCCTTCGCAAAGCTTTCTAAGACCTAAGGACCGTACAAAACTCTCCTAAAGCTTTAGTTTGTAAGATCTAAGGAGTGAGGAAGCCAAAGCAAAAGTCCAGTGGGACGGCGGCTTCCTCGCCGCCTTTTCCGGTCTTCCCGTTGTCCTTTCGAAGGAGGAGAGCTCGGCAGCTTTGAGGGTTTAGGGTTTAGGGGTTTAGGCCCTTACCGTTTAGGGTTCAGGGTTTTTGTTTGGGGTTGTTGGGGTGATTTGCGAGGATGTTTGAGAAGTACGGCTTCATAGGTTTGTTACCAGGCTTTCGTGGGGTTTGATGCTGGGCTTCCGGGGGCCTTCTTTGGAATCCGAGGATTTTGCGGCCTACCCATAGGCCCCAAAGAAGTTCCTTTTTGGGATTACTTTATAGGATTCTGTATATGAACCCCAACAAAGAACTACTTTGGGGCCTTAGGGTAGACCTCTGAATGTTGAGAATGAGAGAATTTGGGGATTTGGGGTTCGACGTTCTCCCAAGAATCCTGTCTTAACGCGGCTTGAGGGTTATGGTTGTTTCATGCTGTAGGTTTCTATTTCCCAGGAACCCGAAACCCGGAAGGCCCAAACACATAGAACTCCCAAGAGGCTTAGGGGTTTCGTCAGGGTTTACGGGGATTGAGGGAAAGTTTAGGGTTTGCCTAGCCCCCCAATCAACAGCCTACTTTTTCAAGGACTTATACAAGTAAACTCAATTTACGTAACCCTCAACAGGCACGGCTGAGGGAGCCGACAGGTCTTAAAACTTTGAGTCTCTGTGATACAGGTGTCTCAGTAATTACCAAAAGTTACTTTTTGTGTGCGGGGGGGGGGGGGGAAGGGGCCCTATCAGAAGTATAGTATACTACACCCCGAAACCGTATTCTAAGTGTTAAGGCCTCTATATCACCCTTTCCGGGTGCCCAAAATCAGAAGCGTTCACCTCGCCCAACAGCGTTTGATATTTGACAGCCCCTAATATCTTCGATGGTCGTCATACGTCCCCTGCAGTTCCAGGCAGTCTATTGACTATTTCAGACGCTTGTGAAAATCCTTTTGAAACATTGCAGAGCCGTATATACAACACAAGCACAAAGCCCCACAGCACCTCAATACGGGGTAACACTGGGCTTTCGAACCACCCCCAAAACCGTATAAAACTTCAGAACAACACATTAACGATTGTCTCACAGCATTCAAAGCCCCAAAACCCTAAACTCCTAGAAACCCTATGTAGTCCCGGTCCCTTCTCTGCCCCTTTCAGGATAGCGATCGTCTGGAGCATGCACTGACGAAAGATCTCGAGCTTCTGCAGGCCCGAACTTAGCTCCTGGTACTTGGAATGTCGCACGACTTAGTCAGCATGGCAACACGGCGAGAAGCACTGTAACTGAGTATCCATAACCCGTTATATTTTTGCTAAGTCCCGTGCCAGCACTCTAGCATCTAACACCCTAAAGCCGTAACCTCTAGAGCCCTAAAGCCATAAACCCCCAAACCGTAAAGAGTCCAGGGTGTAGGCTAACGTTTGGGGTTTCGGGTCTGCTCCTTAAGAGGCTATTGGGGCTACGATGATGGTTGCAACAAGGATTCTAGAGCAATCCTAGATCCGAAATTGTGATTCCTGTTGTGGGTTCCCTTATACCTAGGATGCTCAGTAGTACCCTTATTCCTTTTTTGTAGTCCTAGGTTCCTTATAAAGTTACCCAATACCAAAAAGAGAGGCCTTTTTATTCTTAGGTTACTGGGTAACCTAGATACGTATAGCAGGGATTGTAACCTTTTTCAGGTTCAGGGTTGATGGAGTTTGGGATGACCGCTTCAGGGTTTTTGAGGGTTCCGGGCCAGAGTTGAGGGCTACTTCGGGTTTCGGAGACGTGTGTTATGTGGAGCCTTTGGGGATTATTCTGGTTGTAATATGGGAGCTTCCGAAAATTAGGGTACCTCATGTTGGGGTCCTTAAAAGAAGGATCCTACGAATTAGTGTGCTATATCAGGGTCCCCTATGTTTTGAAAACTCCCATATTGCAATCAGAAATATTGGCGTCCACCATTTTCGGAAACTTTCACATGGCTTTGTAGGACTTCTGGGTCCAATACCCCTGCACTGCAAATGGCAGGGCTTTGAAGCGGGTTTAGGGTCTAGGGTTTGGCTTCAAAGCCTGTAATAGTTTTTATCACGAGGCTTTCAGCGCCAATGTATGATCATGAGAAATTATTACCCTAGACTTTCCCCCCGAGCTCAAAACCCGAAACCCCTACGCCCAAACCCTAAACCCCAAACCCGACTGGGTGGGTCCTTCTTAGGCTGTGGAGCGATCACTGAAGCCATATAGGCGTTTGAACAAGCATAGCTGTGAAATTCCGATATGGTCCCCAAAAAGCGTACTTGTGAAATATGTCATATATATATATATATATATAGCGTCTCGTCTAGTACAGGAACTGATTGAAGCGGCGAGAAGAAGAGGGAACCTAATCTCTGGTTCGTGGACCATTTAGCAGCACCCCTATTCTGAGCCCCTTTCCCGTATCATATTGATGCAGGAAGGCGGCGGGGCTAGTTCAGGGGTCTGCGCTACATCCTCAGCATCGGAATAGGTAACCGTCAGCACTTCCCGAATTCAATTCATGAATCCAACGCCCAAACCTTCAACAAATCCCAGCTTAATTGCAAAGGAAGTTTCAGGGAGGGGACGGGACACGAACCTGAGTTTCTGCGACCCCGGAACCTCTACAATCCTATAGTTTTGACAGCCTCGAGTTGGTGGCGGCGTCGAGGTGAAACAAGCAACCCCGAGCCCTTAGCCACCCCTACACGTAGGCCCGTATATCCCACGCCCCCAGGAAGCAAAGCTGCCCTAACCCAGAGAGCCCAATACCCCTTAATTAAGGAATATGGCTTAAATTATATAGGGCTTCATATTATGATTTAAGCTATATTCCTTAATAAGGGGTATTGGGCTCTCTGGGAAACCCTGAATCCTGAACCCATGAAAACATCAGATGCCCTGGGCCAGGAGTTGGGTTTGGTAGATTATTCTCTGCTTATGGCCTACGAGGAAGGCCAGCCTCTCGTCCCAAAAGACCTCATAGGGATTAGGGGTGCTTGGAATGTGCAAGTTTTGTCCGATTCTTGCATGTAAGAAACTCATGCTTGCAGATGTCCTGTTCAAATCTGCTAGCTTCCTGCCCGCGCACTTTCCGAACTCTAGCGGAGGAGCCTCTCCAGGGTGTTGCGGGGCATGGTCTGAAGCTATGAACCTCAACCGCCAGAGAGAGTTGGAGGGAGGGCTCGAGCGAGGGGGGGAGGGAGAGAGAGAGAGAGAGAGAGAGAGAGAGAGAGAGATAGAGAGAGAGAGAGAGAGGGTAACACCCCTATACCATAGCCCTGGCGAAAGAAAGCGAGAGAGGGAGAGAGAGAGAGAGAGGGAAACGGGCACGTCGGGCTGCGGGTTTTTTGAGCCTCCCCCCACCCACGAGGCGACTACAATGATCCTTATGTAGACCAGGATTAATGAGTGAAACTCCGTTCATTTCGGAGCCTTAGTACGCAGATCCCGACTACCCTCATCCCCATATAGCCCCAAGCCCTCATCGGCGGAAGCATTTATCATCGGTTTGCCCTACATCCACGAACCAAGTTGCGTTTCTACCATTCTACATTAAGTGGGGGTTACTTGGAGGTTCATGGGTAGCTATAAGTAGAGTTGTAAGTCCCTTAATATGTGTTATATGTATAGTTACCCTACTTATATCCCTACTTATAACTACCCCTGGGTCTCCAAGTAGTAGGGTTCAGGCTATACAGATTAGATACGACACCTGGAAGAAGCATAGCTTCATGCCATCAGTCTACGAGAAGTAGTGAACGTTACAGATCTTAGACAATGTGCTGTATTTTGTAGATACATGCACGTATATAAATACAAAAATGATATATTCGATGCTAGACGCTGGTTTTGTTTGGATGATATACCTTAAGCCGGAATAACCTACCTTTTTAAGGACTTATATAAGGAAATCATAATAAGGAACCCTAAAAAGGTAGGTTATTCCGGCTAAAGGTATGGCATCAGAGTCATACGTGTCGAAGCCCTGAAGCCTGAGCCCTCCCTGAACGGCAAAGACGCAGAATTTACCCTAGGCGCCAGAAACCCACACCTTGTGAATCCAAAGCCCTAAACATAAACCCTAAACCGCTAAAGCCGAAGCCTTAAATCCTTTTTTCGATAGCTGTGAGCCAGAGTTGGCAGGTGATGCAAAGAAAGACCGACACAACTTTAAAAGACAAAGCATTCGGTTTAGGGTGTTAGATTTTCGAGTTTTCGGATTTAGGGTTTAGGCTTTTAGGTGATCCCTAGAGCCGTAAAGCCCAAACGCCATTGTCGCCAATGGCTCTAAGGACTGGCAAGAGCGGTCGAATACGGCTTGGCATCATCGACTTTCTTCAACCATACACCTTGGACAAGAAGCCTCTCAGCTTAGACCAACTTTTCGTATGGGCAGGGCCCTATAAACGACGCTGAAGCAACCAGAAAATGGCCGGAAGTCGCCAATCGCGGTTAGAAGTTTTCGCCTGCAGTGTTTCGCACTGCTTACGACTTTGATGCTTTTGGCTTATCATGCTTCTGAGTTTAAGATCTGGTTTTGAAGACTTAGGCTCAGAAGTTTCGTGGCTAATTATGAGTTTCAAGAGGTATCGAGATGACTGATAAGGCAGCTGCAATGTTGCAACAAAGCGGCATGCAGTATGAACAGCGAACGCCTCAAGTCCACGCCTAGCATCTCGCCGCAGTCTACATTACTCCATGGCCTTTTGGGATCCTACGTGTTTTGCTGGTGACACCAAGACAAGAACTACCATGGAGACTATACTCAGAGGCCCGGGGAACTTAGTAAGTAGGTTATAAGGGCGATAAGTACCCTAAATGGAGTTACCCCAATTATAACCCTACTTTTCACAGACTTACTAAGTCCCCTGGGCCTCCAAGTATAGGTTTTAAAACGTATCTTAATGCCCGAAGTGCAGCCTCCGCACCATGGCCCGGATTCCGGTTCCGGTCTGTTTTGCCGACCCTGCTCCCGTATTGTCAAACGGCAGTTTCCGAAAATTAGGGGGGGTACCTTCAAGGGATCCTTTAAGGGCTCCTTAAGGGGATCTATAAGGGTTCTGTAAAGGGTTTAGGGTTTAGAGTTTCCGAAAATGAGGGGGTACCTTATTTGGGAGTCCTTATAATAAGGATCCTACTATTCAAGGTACCTTTTTTAGGGGCCCCTATTTCCGGAAACTCCCAAATTCTGTCAGGGCCAATTCTGGATGCCCAAAGTATCCTAAAGTGGTACGTACATAGCTATAAGCCTTTGCTGCCGCAGTCAAAGGGTATTGAGTCTAGGATATTGGATTACCGACGCGCTCGAAGCAATTAGCAGATCTATCCTCTGGTAGCTTTTATATAAGTATACGGATTGAACTTCAAAACCATACTCCAGTTGTCAAATCTTCCCCCTAACATTAACACCCCCTAATATAAAAACTCCCGGCCCCCGGAATTTCGCGGTTTCGGGCCCACAATTGAAAGTCAATTATAAACATTAGGGGGGGCTAGGTTTTGTATGAGTTTTAATAGAGCGAAAGATTACAGCCGTACTAAAGACAGTAGAGCTTTAGGGCTTAAAGTTTAGGGCTCAGGGCTTTATAGAGCCAAAGATTACAGCAGTACTAAAGACACCACAGATAGCGCCGTTAGCGGGGTGGGGGGGGTTCGTTCTCTCGGACTATTGAGGGGGGGGGGGGGGGTCCTTACTCCAGGAGTATTGAGGGGGTCGGGGGGGGTTCTTAGACGGGAGGGGGGTCCATACTCCAGGAGTATTGAGGGGGGGGGGTCCATACTTCAGGAGTATTGAGGGGGGGGGTTTATTCCAAGACTATTGAGGCGGGGGGGGACTCGTACTCTTGGGGAGGGGGGGGGAGGGTCTCTTTGGGAATGGTTGTCCGGAAGAACTAACCGACTAACCCCCCCCACCCGTGTCCTAGCGGCCCGGTCTCAGACACCAGAGCTCTAGGGTTTAAGGGTTTAGGGCTCAGGGCTAAAGCTTTAAGGGCTTGGGGCTGTAGGGCTCAAAGTTTGGGGCTCAGGGCTTTAGGGTCTGGGGCTCGAGGTTTAGGGCTTCGGGCCTCAAGGCTTAGAGATCTCGTGCTACGTGGATGCCCCGAAACCCCCCCCTAATATTAAAATTAAATCCCTGAAATCCAGTTTTTACATTAAGGGGGGGGGGGGGGGGGGGGGGCGTTTAATATTAGGGGGAAGGGATTAGGGACCTATCTTCTTAATCGGGGTGCATAGGCTTCCATGTTACACGCTTGCGCAAGTGGCTTCTGTGTTTTGTCCAGGCTTTTGTTCTGATGGCTGGGGTATTGCAATGGTTGAGGGTTTCGTGTAGGTTAGGATGTTTTCGGGATTTGGGATTTTGCGGCTCAGGGTCTTCAGGACTTGATCACGGCTTGTTGGTTGTTTAAAGACTAGGATGCCCAGTAGTACCCTTATTCCCTTTTTGTAGTCCTAGGTTCCATATAAAGTTACCCAATACCAAAAAGAGAGAGAGGCCTTTTTTTCTTAGGTTACTGGGTATCCTAGAAGAGGTTTAACGGGGTTGGGCTATCAACGCAAACGCTCCGAGCTACAGATCGAGACCAATATGCATGCACTAAACTAAGCTTCTTGAGGTCCACAAACCCCCCAGCTGTCTTCAACACTACAACTTCGGATGCCCATATGTGTGTTCAAAAAACCGGCAGAACAAAACTATCAATTACAGTCATCTTTAGAGACATCTGGGAATTTCCGAAAATTAGGGTACCTTATTTTAGGGGTCCTTATAATAAGGATCTTACTATTTAGGGTACTATATGAGGGTCCCTCTTTTTTGGAAACTCCCATCTAGACTTTTGAACATCGCCTCTTAAAACCTGCTTCTGACAAGATCTGGCAAGACTCCTCATTACCAGGGAAACCTTGCTTAGAGGCTCAGGGGACTTAGTAAGTCGGTTATAAGTAGGGCTATAGTTGGGGTAGCTCCATTTAGGGTACTTATAACCCTATAGTTATAACCTACTTACTAAGTCCCCTGGACCCTAAACCACCCTTTTAGAACCCTTATAGATCCCTTTCAAAGACCCCTTTAAGGAACCCTATAGTTATAACCTACTTACTAAGTTTTCTGGGCCTTTAAGTCTTGTCTCTATCAGAACCCAAACAAAGCACCAAGCCCTGAAGCTCTGCATGTATACCGGCCAAACAAAGCGGACAGCCCAAACCCTCAATCCAAGGGTAAAAGGAGGGACCCTTAATAAGGCCCTAGGTATATACCCGTAATATAGCCACTATAAACCCATCATATAGCCCATTATAGGGTAGGGGTCCCTATTAAGGGTCCCTCCGTTTCCCCTTTGATTCAAGCACACCCAGGTTAGAGTCGACGGTCAAGAAGCAACTTGGACATGCTCCTGAAGTTCGGTTTTCTTGATTCATCAGGGTCCGGGGGTTTGGTAGTCTCAAGAGTTTAGAGTTTTAGGGCTGCAGGATTTAGGGTTTATGGTTTAGGGTAGGGCAGGTGTCAGGGTTGAAATGATCGACTTGGTGTGAAGCTCATCTTTCCGAGGCATGCAGTTAGGGTTTATAGGGTTTAGGGTTTAGGGTTTACTTGTAGTGCATACTTGACCCCTAGATCAACTCTAGGGTTCACGGTCAAACCTTCTACCCGGACGAGAAAGCTAGGCTTTAGGGTTTACGTGTTTTGGGTTTAGTAGGGTAAAGTAGGGTGCACATTTGGGAAGTTTGGCTTGTGCCTTCCTCGCGGCGGTAAACATTCTTAATGACGCGATGCTGACCATCGATCCGTAGGTTGTCAAAGTACTGAGGAATTGAGAATCCAAACTCAGCCAGTTTGTGCATGTGGGAATTCAAAAAAGTGGGAGATCATTCTTTCAAGGCTCCGACTAGTCAGATCATATACAATCAGCAGCCCAAAGCGGGCTCAAGACGCGAAGCACAGAGCGCCCCAAGGGTTTCGGCTTGTTTCAGTGCTTAGGCTGTCGGGTGTAGGGATCCCTACCCTGCTCACGGCAACTGTTAATGTAGAGGCCTGAATAATATCTTAGGTTTATTACTAGAAGTACAAGTATACCATCGCGGATCCCAAGCCACTGTTGAAATTATTGAGGCCTGTACTTTAGCCAAGCCTTTGAATCTCCCAAGAAGCAGTACAAACCCTGAGAACAGGGGCCCAAACAGTTACGTTCCTTATTCTAACTGATAGCATATTATACCCCAGCACCTTACCCCAAGGGTCCAAGTACCTAATAATCATATACTCTCCGAAACCCGAGCCTACATAACTACTATCCAAAAACCGAGTACCTCATTATAGGGTCCTTTGGACCGTTGGGGTTATGCTAATGACTAAGGCCCCTATACAGGACTTTCCGGAAATAGGGGATCCTAATATACTACCCTAAATAGTAGGATCCTTATTATAAGGCTCCCAAAATAAGGTATCCTATTTTCGGAAACTCCCATATTAAGTAGCCCTAAACCACTCAACATGAGGATTCAGGTTTGAAACCCTTTGTTCAACAGGTTGAGGGTCTCTGACAGACTTCAGCTGGTGTTTCACGTTGCGTCTCAGGGTTTAAGGTTTACAATATTCGCCTAGAGCCCTTAACCCTAAACCCTAAATTGCTTCTGAAAGTCAGGCTGGTGCAGCGCCACGAGCCTACAATTGTCGCTCCGGTTCTCCGCCCCAGATATTGGATAGAGGTGTGTTTCAAGGATGATAGAAGGTTCTTTGCGGTTGCACAAAAATATATATATATATATATATATATATTTATTTGTTTATGTAGATGCACATTATTTGAGGATGCATATGTCGTCCTTCGTTTCGCTCGTCGTTACAAAGAGTGAAAAAGAGGGTACGACAAGCATTCTATGGCGGTCTTCGGCTTCCGGATTTAGGGTTTCAGGGTTCCTGTAAAGGGAACTCCAGAAAGTTGGAACAGGGAATAATGGCAGGATCCCCTATAATTCACATTAGAGGGATTATGATAATGATATTCCAACTTTCCGGCTTCTACTGTAAAGGGGTTTTGTGAAAATAGTGCGGGGTTTGGGTCGGATTAATTTCTTAAGGTTTGCTTTGACCCTAAGCCCTGAAGCCTGACTGAAGATCCTCAAAACTCCAAGGACGAAATTCCGGGTTTAGGTTTAGCGTGTAGGGCTTTGAAGATGTTTAGAAAGGTTTTAGGGTTCTTCAACCTGATAACACAAAGGCCTATAATCCAGGTTGAGGTGGAGCTTAGGGCCCAGTGCACGTTTGGGAGTTTCGGGCTTTGCCTCAAGGGTCCAAGTACCCAATAATCATATATACTTTCTCCGAAATCCTAGTCTACATAATATAAGATATTAGGTCCTTTGGACCCTTGGGGTTTTGCTTCTATAACTACTATCCTAAAACCAAGTGCCCAATTGTTAGGTTCTTTGGACCCTTGGGGTTGGGCTTCTAGGGTTAGGAGGTCTTAGGGTTTAGGGTTTCGCTGAGGAGTCAAAAAGAGTTAACATGAATCCCAAGAGCCACGGTTTAGGGTTTAGGGCTTTAGGGGTTTAGGGTTTAGGGTTTAGGGTAGCCGTTGAGGGTGTCGCCTTGAGGCTTGAAGAAAAATCCAGAGAGCCCAATACCCCGTAATTTCAGGAATATCGCTTAAATTATATAGGGCTTCATAGTATGATCTAAGCGATATTCCTCAATCAAGGGTCATAGGGCTCTCTGGGTAGTTATAAGAAGGCTATAAGTCCCTTAATATGGGTTATAAGTATCGTTACCCTACTTATAACCCTACTTATTGGAGTCTCGGGGAGCAAAACGTTCGGGCTGCAAATGTCGACTGAGGACCAGTATGCCCGCCGACTCTATGAGTTTGCGCACGCGGCCTTTCAAGCGGTCGAGCCCTTACCCACTATTATTACTATTATTACTATTATTACTATTATTACTATTATTACTATTCTTATTGTTGTTATATATTATTTCTTATTATTACTATACCTGTTCCTCCAAAAAGGGTCCGATGTGGGTTCTGGAAGGGCTGCACTCAGTTCTACAAGTGTTCCAATTGCTTAAGGTAACAACCTCCGGTATTAAGGGATCACAACACACTACTTGGTAGTGCTTAAAGCTTCAAGGAGAGAGTGTTTGTGTCTGCGCCTGTGCTTATGACCTATGCCTTTGAGTTCTGGTGCAGGGTAGACCTGCCGCCTGCCGCTTCAAGTCGACTGATATAGGGGCCTTAATAATTGCCTGTACTTTTTTTTGGGGGTTCCTTGTTATAAAGATAGTATAATGGGCCCCAAGCCTATTCTAAGTATTAAGACCCCTACTATATTCTATCAGGAAGTCTAAAGAATGCGTAGGATGCGGGGACTTTTGGGTCTGGATGGGGCGTGATGTCCCTGATTTCTGCGCGAGGGCTATCATGCGCTGATGTATCCTGCTATCTGTCCCGAAAAGCCCACACCCAGCCTGAACCTGTTTATGGTTTCCTAGCCCTTCCGATCCCAAAATGCAAGTTTCACGCAGCTCCTCTTGCAAAACCCACATTAAGCCCTTATCAAATCCAAACCTCCGAACTCCTACACCCCAACCCCCAGTCCTAAACCCTACAGTTCAATTCGCAACCCTTGACCCGCGACCCAAGCCGCTTAAAAACCCCAAGTCGATACCCAGAGGCCCCAAAGTAGTTCCTTTTTCGGATTACCGAATAGGATTCTAAATATGAACCCCAAAAAGGAACTGCTTTAGGGCCTTAGGGTAAGCACCAGATCCTAAATCCCAAACAAGAGCCCCAGATCTGAAACACCTAAGCCCCAACCCCACATGGAACCCGTATAGATGCCTTGTAGAACCATTATTCTTATTAGTAGTATTATTTCAATTATTATGATCATTATTGCTATTATGACTATTATTACCGTAATCACTATTATCACTATTACTACTACTAATACTACTATTACCACCATTATGATTATGACTATACGTATATTATGGGACCACCTCTGGGGCAGCCACGAGGCGCCCAAAGACGACTAAGCTGCAGCGCGCGCGAGTGCAGCGCAGCGACAGAGACCTGGAGCGGCCAGGCCAAGGGGGGCTCTTGGGTTTTCTTTAAAGAGATCTATAGGGGTTCCTTTAAAGGGATCTATAGGGGTTCCTTTAAAGGGATCTATAGGGTTTAGGGTTTTAGGATCTACAGTAAACCCCATAAAGTTGGAAACCGGATTAAGGCCAAATGGTGCTGGGATTCCCTTTACATTATACTGTGAAGGATTGAGGCTATTGGGTTTCCAACTTTTGGGCTTCTACTATATAGGGGTTCCTTTGAAGGGATCTATGGGGTTTAGGGTTTAGGGTTTTAGGGTTTAGGGCTCTAGGGTTTATAGTGTTCCTTTAAAGGGATCCTTACGGGTTCATTTAAGGGTTCCTACAAGGGTTCCTGTAAGGGATCTGTAGAGAAGGGCTTTAGGGTTCTAGGGTGTACGGTTTAGGGCTTAGGGTTTACGGTTTAGGGCTTAGGGTTTCGGTTTAGGGCTTAGGGTCTAGGGCTTAGGGTTTAGGGTTTAGGGCTTAGGGTTTAGGGGTTTAGGGTTTTAGTGTATTAGGGTGTTGGGGTTTAGGGTTTAGGGGAGGGAGATGCAAGAAAGGGCTTCTACACTGTCTGGGCCTTCGTTAGGATCTTAGGAAATTGAAAGTTTGGGAGTCAGCAGGGTTCTGTTTTCTAGGATGTAAAACGTCAGCTATTTAGAAGGGTCGGGGTGGGTTCTAATTGCCATGATGTGTGTATATATACGTCTAAATGTGGTAAAACGTACGTATGTATGTCTGTGTTCATGCATATATCAGAGTTCTGTAAAGAGAGTGTCAGAGTTCTGTCTACAGAGATCTATGAAGGTTCTAGAAATAAGCATTCTGCCATGCTTTGGGTTGAATTTAGGGCCCAGATGCAGATTTCATCGGGACCCGTTAGACCGGGAACAGGGTTCCTCAATACTTGGAGGGTCGGGGGACTTAGTAAGTAGGTAACCGTAGGTAGTAAGTAGACTTATATATAAGTACCCGAAAAGGGACCCTAGCTGGGGTTCTGACACTTATAAGTCCCTAGAATAACTACTTACTAAGTCCCCCGACCCTCCAAGTATGGCATGCTTATGAGACAGAAGGCTCTGGGGCTTGGGGAAAGCAGGCCGAAGCATCAGGCCAAGAGTCTTCGAAAGGGGTCTATTAAGGGTTAACGGTAGAGGTTGTGCAAGAGTGGCGGGGTTCTAGAAGGCTTCGGTAAGGGTTCAGGGCTTAGATCTTGCCGACAGGTGGTGACAGCATGATATTACGCAAGCCTTCCTGCAGAAACAGCCGAAACACATTAAGATTCAACCCGATACCCGGGCAACGAAACCCAAGCTCTCCAGCCCAAAAACGGTTTTGGGTTTAGGGTCCAGGGTTTAAAGTTTAGGGTTTAGGGTTTAAGGTTTAAGGTTTAGGGTTTAAGGTTTAGGGTTTAGGGTTTAAGGTTTAGGGTTTAGGGTTTAAGGTTTAGCTTTTAGGGTTTAGGGTTTAAGGTTTAGGGTTTAGGGTTTAAGGTTTAGGGTTTAAGGTTTAGGGTTTAGGGTTTAGGGTTTAAGGTTTAGGGTTTAGGGTTTAAGGTTTAGGGTTTAGGATTTAGGGAATCCCAAAGTTGAACCCTCAAACCCTAGATGGCAAGAGCGAAGCGCAACACCCCAAGTAGGCCCAGATGTGCCAAAACCAGCGGAGGCTTCTGGAAGCCCATTTGCGGGAATTCCAGAAGTCAGGCAAGGCGAGCGGGCATCCAGGGTTTATATAGGGCTTAGGGCTACGAACTTTGTCTCTTATCCATCTTTCTGTGTATCTATCTATTTGTTTAACCCGTCTATCGATCCATCTAGGTGTTAGTTTGTTTATCTCTCTCGGTCCCTCTGTTCGTCTTGGGTTTTATCCAACCATCTATCTCTGCCAATATCTGCATCTGTGTCCGCAGCTCATCTGCGTCTATATTTGTTCGTATATCGATATCTATACTTATACCTGTCTCTAGCTCTAACTCTAATCCTATGTCTGTCTCTTGCTTTATCTCTGGGGCTTCAGCGTGGGCTTCGGGGTGAGTGTGAACTGAAGCTTTCGTTTCTGCACGTCACTGCGGCTGTTTTATCTATCTGTCGGTCTACGTTACCGGGCTGGGACCCTGTACGAGGTTGCTACGGTTTAGGGTTTAGGCTTACCCCGTCGAGGGAGCTGGGTGTCCGGGTAGAGTCTTCATATAGGTTTGTGAGGCACGCAGGTACATACATATGTTTTACAGAAAAAGCAAGTGCAGATATACACGTCTGTGTATATATGTGTATTGTTCTGTTCATCGAGCTATTTATCTGTTTGTTTTTGTTTGGTTATTTCCCTTGCTTTTTTATATGTTGATGTGTCACCAGTGATGTGCAAGTCATGCCAATGAAGATCTTGCTCTTTTGTTCTCTCTGTCTCTCTCTCGCTCTCTGCTATCATCTCTCGTTACATCTCTTCGCATAGAAGCAAAAGGAAGCAAGAAGCTTGTTGACGGAAGAGCTGCCTTGAACCCTTTAATCGGAAGCCGCTTTGTAAACCCCTAACTCCCAAATGCCTAACTTTGCATCCCCGGTTCAACTGCAGAACAACATTGGGGTCTTGAAGAATGCCAAATGTTGAACCACTAGACCCTAATCCTGAAGACATGACGGACAGCAATGTAGACCCAAGGTAGCCGGGGCCTGTTGTTTCAAGAGCAGAGGGACACCGAATGTTCAGAAACTCCTTAACCTCACGAAGCTCCTAAACACGAAGGTAGCAGCTAGGGTTTTAACAGCCCAACCCTACAACACCCAGTAAAGCACACCATAGGCATTGTGCAGGCGTACAGAATCGCAGGGTTTCTTAGACGGACAACTAGCTCGCCACACAGAATCGAAGTGTCAAATGGGTTTTGGTACTTCAAGCACTACATACTATTTGGCTGCGGCGTGTTGATCTGCTTCCAAAAGCAACTTGCCAGGCCTGGCGAGGACTCGCCCTGCACGGGGTCGGATCGCGCACACGGAGAGCTCAACTTGGCCAATACCCGCAAAACTCCTAAGCGCTAAACCTTAATGTAGACCCCTGACGAGTAGCCCCGCCTCCGTTCATAGGGCTGACTCAAAGCAGTTTGTAAGTATCTACAGCAAAGTCTACATAACCCCAGAACACCATATTTTGCTCAAGCCTTATGAGCTAATTTCCTACAATAGCCGATGTACCTTTAAGAAAGGGATACGACTCTAAGATTTGCTACATATACCTCTGTTTTAAGGTACCTTGTTTACTCTAACTAAGCCTTACAAACCCCAGGAGCTGTTCAGACGGGTCCGAAGCGCCAAAGTGCACGGCCCCAAAGCAGTCAGACGAGCTCTCAGCGTCGAAAATCCCAGCCAGAAGAACCTGGGTTGAGGGTTTACGGAGGTTTTGGGTTCAGGGGTTTAGGGAGGATTTTGGGGTTCAAGGCCGAGAGTTCGGGGTAGTTTTGGGAGGATCTAAACAGTGGTTCCCCCGAGCGGGTTCCGTTGAAACAGCCAGCTTTGTAGTAGTCTCGCTTCTACAATGACTTGGGTGTAGTGTCAAGAGTGTCGAGATAGTGGTTAATAACTACGGGTACGACTGTTGTACATTCCGGATTGTTGCTGTTGGGCTGCGTTTGACTCTTAGATGCAGGGTTTTGTCCGTGGTGCTTCTGTGTTCCCTTTGTGAGCGAGCACTGACTTGGGGATTGTTGACGGAGATTAGCGGTCTCGCGCATGAGATCCTGACTTTAGCCTGGGGAGAAAGCCCTGTATTTCCTAAAGCCCACGTCTCTATGAGTCCTGGGTATAGATAAGGCTGAAGCTCACTAGAGTGACTTGACTAGAAGTGTTGCTCCTTGTTTCAAAGCAGTCGGTTATGCAGTTCTTGAAGCGCCAGTCGGAACAATAATTGTATCCCTGCTATCGTCCCTGATAGATCATACGATTGATAGTACATGCGCACCTCTGTTAGTAATTGAGGCCCGTGTAGCGAACATATGATAGAACCCTTAACGACTCCTCTGTCAGAACACATAAAAACACTGTTCTAGTTGTTAGGCCGACTCCATTTCAAGAGTGTTAAAGGCTCGGGGCATCTAAGAAGGTAGAGTTTGGGGTTTGGACGGTCTTGAGCTTAGGGGTTACATGACCATGCGCACCCTATGCTGGGGTTGAGGGTTGAAGGTTCAATATTCTGGGGTTGGGGGTTGGTGCGCTTCCGGGGTTTGGGCTTCATGGTTCCTTGATTTCAGCTTCGACGTGATGTCTAGCGTGCAAGTGTTTAGGTTTTATGGGCAAATTTGTTCGAACCTACATACACCCCAAAGCCAAAGACTTAAAAACCCTGACACCTTAAACCGCCAGAAGCCCAAAACCCCCAAAACCCTAAACCCCTCGAAGGACCGCTGAGACCTGCCACAGAGACCAATGACGGAATACATTTGAAATTTCATTTAATATCCCATACCCCTCAACTCCTTAATCAAGGAGCATACCTTCAACATGAGTGTTGAGCCGTTACAGACAACTTATGACCAACTAACTTATAAGTCCCCTAAACCTCCAAGTAACCCTGAAATCCCTCCTTACATAACCTTTCTAGGTTCCCTGCAACAGAGGCCTTTAAGGAACCCTTTAATTAAAGAACCCCTATCCCTTGATAAAGGGGGCCTGGGCTGGGCTTTTGGGGCCCCCGGCTAGGTGGAGTCGCTGTCCACTGGCGAGCCGAAGGTCAATTACCGGGAGTGTGGGGCCCTGGCGTTGGAGTTGTGGGAGTTGTGAAAAATTGGGTCCCCTTTTTGGGGCACCCTAAAAGGTAGGTGCCGTATTATATTCGGGACCCGAAAATAGAAAGGGACTCTAAATTTGACACCCACCCATGTGTGTTTCTCTGTTCTGTCTTAAAGAATCTTGTGCTGCATAATTACTTAGCAGTGTTGTCTTGAAGAGCAGTTGCAG